CCCCCCCCCAGTCGTCTGGTAGTCGGCAAATTATTGTATCCCAGTCCCCAAATTGTTTTCCCAGTCGGCAAAACACGAATTGGATAGGAAGGGGAAAAGTAATTTGGGGTAATTTACGGAAACTAAACGAGTAACGGTACGTCAAGCCAAAAATGGTGAAAAATGTAATGTCGGGAATTTTTTTATGTTCCGGCGGAAACTTCCATTCCCTCCCCCTCCCCCCCCCCCTCCCGAAAAAGGGACTAAGGTCCCCGACAGGGGGCTAAGTTCGTACAGAATCTTTTCGATGGCGCCAGAAATTCTTCGACAAAGGGGCTAAGGTCCCCGAGAGGGGACGAAGTTGGTACATGCAAAACCTTTTTGGGGGGCAGTATTTTTCCCCCGAAACAAAGCGGTGTAAGTACATTTTTGCCGACTCATATTATACTATTTCTTTTCCCAAATTTGTTTGCAGGGGGGGGGGGGGAGGATCTGAACATACAAAAAATTTCCCGACATTACATATTCTTTTGCGTTAAACATACGTTATTTGTTTAAAATTTTCCTTCATGTTTTCGTGAATCTCTCTAAATTCTGGCTATAGTTCTCACTTTTTAATCATTGTCCTTTATCTATTTTAGTTTCCCTCAAAACACACTGTTTATAAAACATAGTCTCTTCCCCGACAAAATTCTAATTTACACACAAAAATATGGTTCACATTAAAAAAGTCGGGTTGAAAAATCGGACGATTCCCAATTTGACAAATCGGCTGTCCATTTTGTATATTTTTTGCTGGAATCCCGCTGTACGCTGTAACACTATCCTGTCCTGAATAAGGTTGGGAAAATTAATGATGCATGATGGGAATGATCAGGGCTGAAATTTGATTTTCGTCATCTTTCCCATCGTGCATCAATAAGCCCTGTTGACAGCAATCTGTTTTTGTGTAAAAACGCATACTTTTGTATCACTAGTCGTCCACAAAAATGCGATAGAAAATGGATACCTTCACCAAGAAAGCGGATCGAGCTTTTCGAAAACGGCTTTGAAAGTGGAGACTTTTAAAAACGGTAGCGTTTTGGATTAGGGACCGTTCATTATTTATACTCTAGGGTGGGGTGGGAAAAATTGAGGGGGGTCATGTAAAGTTCATCTTTTCCTACGGGGGGGACTTGCTTTTTTGGAGTCTTGTCGGGGGGGGTGTTAAAAAAAGAACTGAAAATATTGTAGCACCTGTCTACATATAGAACATTTTAGATTTAGATATTTAATGAATTTCTCAATTTATGACTATGCACAAAGTTTGGTAAGTTATTAAACGTTCTCCTTGGCAAGCAAATGTTTTTTAATTGCTGTCTGGAAGATTTTAAGGGAAGTGCTATTTTCAGGTTTTATTTAAATTGTTCCAAATGCGAACAGCTCTATAGGCAAACGATCGTTGACCAGCTGGAGTTTTGAAGAGTGGTACTGGCAGAGAGTTAGAGTCTTGTATCCGAGTCTGACGTTTATGTATTGATGACCTTTTTCTAAACGTATTGCACAGGTAATCGTGTGCAAGGTTATTTACACATTTGTAGGTAGGTAGGTAGGTAATACTTTATTTAAAATTAACAGAAAGAAGAACACGCTAGCCCCATCAACTCTAGGCTGGTTTCCATGGGGGGCGTATTTAGATCATAAAAATCATTAAAAGGAAAATTTAAACTAAATATTAATACACACATACTGTACACGTTACTATATACAAATAATTAGGAAGCATGTCGCTGTCCAACAATTGATTTAAACGAATGAGGCGACTCGGCCAATTTTGCT